ACTTCGTAGATGATATCAAAGAAGAATATTTTTTAAAATGCACATTCTTAAACTTAATTTCAAACTTTTGACGATATTTGGAGGCTGGCGACCGGATTCTTGGTCGTCGCTACATAAACGCGTAGCATACGACATGTATACCAGTATAATAATTATAATACTAAATACGTTTGTACTATCGCAACTGATGGACGTAATTCTAACTGTAAACAACGCCGATGATTTTTCTGAAAATTTTTTTATATTAATTGCCATGTTTATTTCTTGTTGTAAATTGTTCATTTTACTGATGAATCGCAAAAACATTATTATGTTGATAGGCATTTTAATGAAAGAACCTTGTAGACCGTCGAGATCGACTGAAATTGAGATTCTATATAAATTCGATAAAAGCATACAGTAAGTATTAACAAACAACAAAAAAATAAATTATTGAAATGTATTAAATGTTATCTTTTACTTCTAGATTTTTAATATAATTTATAATGCTTTTTTATTATTTAAACAGAATTAATATAATAATGTTTTACCTTCTGACTACTATGTATATATATATATATATATATATATATCACGTATAATGATTTCTCGCTAATCTATTCTTTGGAACAAAGCGCCATATAATGGCCCCTCAAACAGTTTTAGGATGAAATGCTACTATAATGGCTTTTTTCTAAACTTCTCTGTATATTTTGTCATTATCAAGCAGAAATATTCTCAATTATTTTGATTTTATTCATCGAAAATATGTTCGCGATTTTAATTGAATTTTCGGCTAAGCTGCACGTATAGTAGATACAGCAGGTATAGTGTATTTTTCAGCAGAGCAGTAGATTTTATAACCAAAGGGTTAATATATTTTATCGTATACAGAAATGTATCCATGTCATAAAAAATATAATTTATTTTTTAATTAATTAACTAAATATGATAGAAAAAAATATAAAGCTAAAAAATATTACATTTGAGAGTTATTTTATTATTGTTTCAGAATTAACACTCGACGTTTCATATGTCTGGGAACAGTAACATGTTTATGTGTCGTATTGACATCTTTATCAGTGAACTTCAGAATTAGAAAATTAACGTATAGAGCATGGTTACCATTTGATTATTCGTCAACATTATTGTTTTATCTAATGTATGCTCATCAATTGATATGTTTAATTGCCGGAGGATTTTTAAATATTGGTTGCGATACTCTCATCTGTGGATTATTGGTCCACATTTGTTGTCAAATTGAAATATTGACTTATCGTTTGAAAAATATTGTATCTTATTCAAACGTACTTCGCAATTGTGTATATCAACATTATCATATCTTCAGGTAAATCTTATCATATTTTGCGAAATATTTTTTTAAATTATGATATTAATTTATCACATGGTTTTTATTACAATATTTTATTAATTGAAAAAAATCGTTAAATTTTAGACTTGCGTTTATTGTAAATGCGAAATTTAGATTAACTATTGCTATTCAATTTATAACTAGTACGTTGGTGGTTTGCTTCAGTCTTTATCAATTAAGTACAGCAACAACAAAAGCCAAATATATTGAGATGATATTATATATATCTTGCATGTTAACAGAAATATTCTTCTATTGCTGGTATGGTAACGAATTAAAAATAAAGGTATGGTAGTAGACACTTTTTGTTAATACGTGCATATATAATTGACACGAATGTTCTTAAATCTCTTAGGAAAAAACATTTCAATATATTAATTAACTGTTCAGTAACTGATATTTTATCAGTTATCATTATAGTTAATCAGTATATTGACATACTCTTTCTTAAGAGATAATTCGCCAAATCTATTCGCTAAATGCTAATAGTATATATTGTTAGACTATCTTAATATCTAAAAAACATTAATAAAAATATTTTTTATTAAATGCACAAATGCTATGGAAATACATTTTACATATTTCAGTAGAGTCATCGAATGATCGATAATATTTTTGAAATTGAATGGCTAGCGTTGGATAAAAATAGGAAGAAATCTCTAATGATAATAATGAGCCGAGCAATCGTACCTATTCAGATTACCTGTGCTTATATTGTTCCTATGGATCTTAATTCCTTTATGAGTGTTAGTATGGATATATTATTAAAACTAGTTTTGATAATAAATTTTATTTTCTTTATTTTGCATTTAAGTGAGGATTTATAATTAATTTCTTATGTTATTACAATAATTAATTAACAAAATTTTTTAATTTAAATTTAATTAATTAATATATTAAAATCATTCCACTACACGATGCATATTAAATAAATTATTATTTAAAATAAGCAAATAATATACAGGAGGGATGTTCAGTAATACCCAAATCATCTCTCATAAGTAGATAGAGTGGACAAAATTGAATGAAAAAGTTCCCATATCATTATGCAATTTTCGTAATATAGTTAACGATATATTAATTTCTAAAACTATTGAACAGTATGATCTATCCGTTAAATACAAGCGCGTGATGAGATAGGATAATTGTAGGTTGCTTGGCACGCACATGTTGTTTATTACTGCTTCCGATATACACTGCATTGAAAATCTATAGTGCACGTAATATATACTATAGATTTTCAGTATTGACAGTGTATATCGGAACACAGCTTACAATTACAAACGGTATTACGAAAGTTGTAAAATAATACAAGACACTTTCGATTAAATTTTATCCATCCTATTTGCTCACGAAAGGTGATCTGATCATTATTAGGCATTATACCCAATATAAATAAATTCAGAAATATATTTTATGTATTTAATATTTCGAAAAGCTGATGTCAAAATCTGTAACACAGATACTGATGCTGGATCTGTGAGAGAACAATTTATATTAACTAAAAGATATTATTTCACTTAATTTTAAGGAATCAAACAACTTAATATAAAAAAGTATGAATACTAAATTTATTTTAATAACAATAATTTAAATTTGCGGATTTAATATAAAGAATACAATTGAATAAATCCATCAGACTCGTCGTTAGCTTTGCAAGGTTAATAATTAAAATTTAGCATATTTAATATCGAGGAAATTAGCTATAAATTTATTAAAAATATTTAACTCAAAATTATACGTGTCTATATACTAATTCTAGTTACTTAAGACGTCGTATTCCACATACAACTTACTTCAACAAATACGGGAATAACTGTATAAGAAGCTAATAGAATTAATATACTACTCATATCAAACGAAATAAAATCATGGAAGCGGCAGGAAGTAAAGAAAAATGTATGCAATTAGTATCATAATTAGTATTTAACGTTTCTCCATTACATATATTGTTATAAAAAATTAGATTATCTAAATATATAATTTATTCTATTCCATATTCTTCTTATTATTTAATATAACGTATACATTGCACTTTTTTTATTCTGTTCTCTATGACATACTTTGTTGCTGATGTAACATAATTTTTAATTATTTTTAAATTAAATTATTAGTTAATTGAAAAATTTATAAAATAAATTAAATTAAATAAACTATCTTTTATACAAATACGCATAAAAAATACTTTCTATACTACTGTATTTTTCATAATAATATTACTATTGTATTATTACTCATTAGTAATAATACTTTCTTACCTGTAAAATTGTGTTTGTAGGATAAATACAATTTTGACATTATGATTTTGTGAATGAAAGAACATTATATGAAGGAAAAGAAATTATATATAATTATAATTAAGAAATTATAAAAGAAATTATAATGCTACAATTATTCTAAAAGTAGATATAGAAAGAAATATTTTAGATTTCATAGAAACTGGAATTACTTGAATATCGTAAAAGGGTGAAGAAATCATAGAAAGTATCTGCACCAATATTAATGAAGATAGGTTATAACTATTTGTTTAATATTTGACTATTCTATCTCGTATTTTTTCTAAAAAGCATTGTTGCATTTAAAGATATAATTAGGTTTTCGTATATGTAAATTTTGTTGTATATGTATTGCAAGTTGTCAGTTGAGTTATGAAAAAATTATTTCAAGAGGAATACATTTCGCGAGGGATACATTATTACAAAATAAATTATGAAGTTACGAAGGGTGGAAACGTATACTGGATATCTACTATCTAGTTTAATAAATTCGATCCGCAAAGCTATAGACCATTGTCAGTTATCCTAAAGATTTTGTCATGCGTTATACTATGTGCTATATGCTGTGGTTATAATTATTTAAAGCATTTTTTTCTTTATATTAATTTAATTTATCTCTTTTATGACTAATGTGCAATCTACTTATGATTGTTAATCAAAGAGCTTTTTTAGGTATTAATGTAACACACAAATAATATTTTTAGAAAACTAAAAATAAAAAAAAACTTCTATAATAATAGAAGCGATCTTAACAAAACTGCATAATATTTTAGAAAAATATTTAATATTATTAATAATAATATACATTTACACAATAATATACATTTACAGTAATTAATTACATGTACTGTGTTTTGTAGAGAATACAAAAAAATAAGCTCTTTAAAAATGCATATTCTTAAATTTACTTTTAAACTTTTAACGATATTTGGTTGTTGGCGACCCGATTCTTGGTTGTCGTTACATAAACGTATAGCATATTACCTATATACAAGTATAATAATTTTATTACTACATACCTTTATGCTTTCGCAATTGATGGACTTAATATTAACCGTTGATAATACCGATAATTTTTCGGATAATTTTTTTGTATTACTTGCCATGTTTATTTCTTGCTGTAAATTGTTAATTTTGCTAACGAATCGCAAAAACATTATTATGTTAATCGACATGCTGATGGAGAAACCATATAGACCATCCAAATCAACTGAAATGGAGATTTTATATAAATTTGATAAAGACATAGAGTAAGTTTTAATAAACAATATTTTAATAATAATATTGTATTGTTTCTCACTTGATATTATTAAAAACTATTGAAATATATTTTATGTTACTTTTTATATTAGAATTTAAAACCGTTTTTTTATTTTTTAAATAATTTTAATACATTTAACACT